AACCTGAACCCAACATGGAATGGGCAGGGACAGGCTGCAGAGACAGGAATTGATGCAGGAAAACATGAACCCAACATGGAATGGGCAGGGACAGGTTCCAGAGACAGGAATTGCTCCAGGAAAGCCTCCCAGGGCAGCAGGGACACGGAGCACAAGGAGCACATGAAGAGCAGCTGGCAGCTTTTCCAAGACTCATTAACCAAGGAACAAAGCAAGTGAGGATCTCACACACACCTTTCCCCTTGTGTGCAGTTTGACTTCCAGCCAAACACTTTTTTTCCCTAAATACAACAATGTTCCTTACCTGAGACTGAGAGATTCCTCCTTAGGCAAAGCTGACACCCTGTATTCATCACAGAGCTCAGCTCCTGAATTAATTCTGGTTAAATCCATGCAGCCAACTCCATCAGACACAAACTGTGCACAGGAGGCTCAGACTGGACCCAGCTGCACCCAAACTCCATCAGGAGTTCAAAGGGCTCCTCTGAGCCTCACAACTCACTGGGGGCATCTCCCTGACCCTTTTCAGTCTCTGGTCACTGTGGAAATCATTTCTAAATCATTCTACATCAATTTTAATTCTCTGTTCCTTTGTATTTCTCCTCCCTGTAGCAAGCAGCAGAGTGAGCCTTGCCATTGAACCTTCTTAATTCACACTTTTACCACATCCTACCAAAACCCCACCACCAATACATTAGGACATAACTCTGAGTGATCAAAATTACCCATTTGTGGCACTCTCTGCTGCACCACAGAGCAGCGAGGGGCATGTATAAATAAACTAAACTGAAACGAAACGAAAAATACTAAAATAACTAAAAAACTCCCAAAACTAAATAATAAATAATAAAAAACTAAAACAACTAAAACTAAATTAAATTCAGTTTCTGCATCTCATTCTTCCAGTGAAGAACTGGACTTATCACTGAGACTTTGTTCTTCTCTTGGTAAGTGTAAGATAAAAAATCCTCTTTATAATAATGCTTTGCAGCTTTCTGATGGCTGATTTCAGTGCAGTTTTCTGGCAGACACACGGTTTTTATGGGGTAACACAGAGCAGAAGATGTTTAGGAACTCTCTAGCCTTCCCCTGGAATTTGCTGTCCCCCACAGCTCATGCAGGAGTTCTTGGGAGTGCATTTAAGTCCCATCCAGTGTAGGATTCCTGATTGAGGCCAGCAGAGTCACTCTGACATAAATAAAGACTGCATTTACCATTAAACCCATGATTTCGAGAGGCTCCTCACTTTCTGTGGTGAACAGCTGCTAAATTGAAGCTGGGACTGAATAAAAAAAGAGCTGTTGCTCGATTCCCTACGCATTTCACTTTTGGGGTGGTGATTTTCCTCAAAGCCCCATCATTACCAGAGAAAAAGAAGTTGTTAGCAGAGGTTAACTGGACCAGATCTCCCAGCCCACACTAAACTGCTATTTTTGAAGTGAGAGTCACCTCAATCCAAAGACAATTTCTTGCTCATCACTGCAGAGAAGTCCAAAACACTCCAAGTGCTGTAAGAGAATATCCTGCCTATGACAGTGCTTGAGGAACAGGAAATATCAAAGTGATTCACCTTGATCTCTCCCAGATAAAAATGGGTTTATTTCCCTGCATTTCTGCCCTGTCCCACAGCACCTCCTGCCTTCCCTGTCTCTGCTGTCTCCTCTGTCCCCAGGAAGGACAAAGCTGATAAGGAGTCCCTCAGCTGTCAGCAGAGACAGATTGCTGGGCAGGTTTCATCCAGCCTCATTCCAGCAGGGCAAAACGGAGCACTTTGCTTAAATACTGACATTAACAGAGACATGACACATCCCCAACAACGAAATGGAGTCCAGCTTGAAATGCAGAGCACAGAAGAAATGTCTCTATGTTTCAAAAGCTCTTTAAGGAATGCTCTGGCTTGCCCACCCAAACCTGGCTGAGTCTGGGGGTTCCCCAGTCGCAGGTGGCACTGGGGTGACAGAGCCA